TGTAATCCTAACACTTTGAGAGAACAAGGTGAGAGGATTGCTTGAGCCCACAAGTTCAATACCAGCCTGGGTAACAGATTGAGAGCCCAAGTCCACTAAATATTTTTAAAAATTAGCCAGGTGTGGTAGTGCGTGCATGCCTGCAGCCCCAACTATTCCGGAGGATGAGGTGGGAGGATCTCTTGAGCCCAGGAGCTCAAGCTTGCAGTGAGCTGTAACTGTGCCCACTGCACTCCACCCTGGGTAACAGATCAAGACACTGTCTAAAAAAAAAAAAAAAAAAACAATGATGTGGCAATCCTGAGTAATACATTTCCGGCAGTTTTGAAGCCTACTGGTTCCAAGACAGTAACATTAACATTAATGTAATGTACAAACATTAATAGAAGTTCATAGAATTATGACAAAAGCTAACCAATGACATAAGTTTAAAATTTGAAAAGAAAAGAATGTAATGGTAATATTATCTAGGAAGACATGCCATTTGTTCATTTCTGTTCAAGAGATTTAATAAATCATAGATGAACAAATACAGAAAAGACTATTATATTAATAATTGTATAAACAAGAAAGCTCTTAAATATGCAGAAATATAACTCATAGGGGACAGTTTTGGCTTTGGTAGAAGTGCCAGTTGGAGTAGTGAAGAGGAGTGATTCTCAGCCTTTCTTGTAGTCACAGATCTGAAAATGTGAAGACGTCTGTGGAAGCATACATACACATACATGTAAGATTCTGCGTGTAATTTCAAGATTAAAAACCTGTGTTAAGAACAGTTAACCTCCTATCTTCTGAACCACTGACGAACTAGTTAAGTGATTCTGAACAAGCCTCCCTAGCCACACTGATTCGTCCTCTGGCTCGCTGCAGTCCCTTCTTCTGTTACCACTTTTGCTTTCTCTGTGGCTCTTTCCCTTGATCTGCCCCACCCACTCCTCCACCCAAGCCATTCTGTTTCCCTGCCCAGCCTTCCCCAATTCCTCACCTACTCCCATTTTTCCCTATATACACTCCCGACCCCAGGTCCTTAACTAGTTCGGATATGAAAATAAATCATATACTTGAGCGACCTAATTAACTAAATTTTTATGTTATTGTTCATAATTTTAAAAGCCAGTAAACTGAAAAATTTACATTTACAGATAGATTGAGAGATTAATTGTAAGGAAAAAAAGAGGAAAGGAAGAAAACAATAGCGTTTTTCAAGGAAAAAAAATAGTTATTTTACATCTGGCCCTAATTTTTGTCTCTGTATTTTTTTTGCCATAGGTCCATACTAGGAAAAAATGACTGTGCCCCTACCCATGACAATCAGGATGTTTCAGGGACACAGAGAGCCCCAAGCATTCACAGTGGGTCCAGAACACAGGACAAACAGATGAGGGCAGGAGCTGTGTGCTGGGCCAAGGCCGGAAGGCCCAGAGGGCTCTCTATCCAGAACCTGGCTGACACGAAGATGGGACGAAGTCCAATCTCCAAGAATTCGGGGGGTGTTGCATTTTACACAACTCTCCAAGTAGCCAGCACCGTCCATGGCTCTGCCATATACTCTAAATCACAGCAGAAAGATGCTATAGGAAAAAAGGCTAACAAGATATGTGGGAGGGAATAGAGGCATCCTAACACTAAATTCAGCTACAGCCGGCTAAAGTTCACCTATAAAATTCACAGTTAGGTGTGGTGAGATGGCTCATGCCTATAATACCAGCACTTTGGGGGGCTGGGGTGGGAGAATCTCTTGAGGCAAGGAGTTGGAGACCAGCCTGGGCAACATAGTCAGACTCTGTCTCTATAAAAAAGTAAAAAATTAGCTGGGCATGGTGGCATGCACCTATAGTCCTAGCTGCTCCAGAGGCCGAAGTGAGAGAATCATTTGAGCCCAGGAGTTGGTCACAGCGATGCAGTCCAGCCTGAGTGACAGAGTGAGACCTTGTCTCAAAAAAAAAAAAAAAAAAATCCAACAAACAAAATTCACAATTCTTGTGCCATGGAAATTATTTGCAAGTGAATTATTTCACAATTAGACAAATGTTAATGCTTTTAAGGCAAAGTCCATGGAACCGACACTATATGACATCTTTAACCTACTGTATGCTTTTTCTATGTCAGGTCTATATAGATAGAAGTATAGGGATACTTATATGTATTCATAATTTTATATACATAGCTTTATTTAATATATGTACACCTAATTACATAATTTTATGTGTATATAATTTTATTCAATCCTCAAAATAACCATATAAGTAATTATAATCCCCACTCAGTAGATGAGGAATCTGAAGCTTAGCAGAATTGACCAAACTGCCCAGAGTCAAGCACACTAAGTCAGAAAGACAGAATATCAACACAGAGTTCTCTGACTCTAAAGCCTGTGCTCTAAGCCTGAGATCCTGAGCTTCTCAAACTTAGATGTGCACATGAATCCCCTGGTCCAATTCTGTAGGTCTGGGATGGGCCTGACAATCTGCGTTTGTAACACATTCTCACCAATGCTGCTGATCCATAGACCACCATATATTGAGTAGTAAGGGGCCAAATAAACCATTATATTAGACTAACTCCATATGAAGTTAGTAACTTCTAAAAGCTGAATAAGTATACTGTCAGTAATGTACCTCTAAAAAGGCAACTATTTTAAGGATAAAATGAACAATATATTTCTATATGTTAAACTGTGCAATACTTTTAAAAAAATCAGATTTCTTCTAATCATCTGGTCTCTTTATAATTAAAAAACAAACAAAATCAGAAAATATAACTGTATAGCCTAAAACAAATTTTTAATGAAATTAAGTGAATCTCCAATTTTTTTGCACACATTCCGGTTGTCTTTGGCCAGAAGAGTCTCTCCTGGGTCCTATGTCCAAACCAGATGCATCCTGTGTTTCTACAAGGAAACCATCAGAATCTATTAAAATTACTGCACACTGATAGCAGCAGGGACATGACAAATCGCAGGCCAAGAGTCAGATACCACAGAATGTGTTTCAGGGCTTTAGGGGCAGGCCCATTTGCAACCAAATGATATTGTGTGAGGCTGGCATGCTCAGTGCATGACAAACTGATGCAATTTCGATGCTGTCTGCGGGCCAGGGGAGATTTCTCTGATGCTGGTTGTGGTTAGTTTACAGAATTGTGCAGAGTTCCCAGATTTGAATCACTTGGGGCTTGAAAGGGCTTCACTTGACAAGCTACAAATAATTATACCCTACTCTTTCCATTGTACTCTATTATTTTGCCCCCCTTATCTCTAGGATTTGAGCTTTAGTGAACAAGCAAGGTCAGCTTCTATTTTGACCACAACACAAAACATTGTTCTTTTCTGATACGATAAATAAAACGAGGCCTCGAAGACTAAACATTTTTATCAGGTCCATTTTCCACTTTTATAGGCAAAAATCAACTTTGCACTCAGTTAGAAGGGCTGAGCTGGACATAAGAAGGCAGGCAGGTTTGTGCTTCCTCCGTTAGTGATGTGATCCAGCTATCTGGTTATTGTAAAAGCTCATTTGGAAAATGGGGCATTGACTAACAGATAAAGGGCATGTGGGAAGTAGCTTTTACAAGGTCTCTGCTTCCTTGGCCTCCTCTCCTTTACCCTCAGCCCCATTCTAACCACCTCTTCATTCAGATATTCTTAATGAAAAATTTTCAAACTTGGGATGCAATTAGAACAAAGCTGCCTTATGTCACTACACGTCTCCGAAACACCAATATCTCAGATTCAAGTTTGCTACTCCATTTATAAAAGATTTTAAAGAGTACATTGCCCATTCTAAGGCAGCTCCTTTAAGGATAATATATTGATTACTGCTTCACATATTTTAATTTGGTAAATGTGAAACTTTATCTATGTTGTATTATTTCTCCAAAGTAAACAGAAAATTGGAGGAGGCAGTTTTTTGCTGCAACTCAGACTTCAACATTCCATAAACAAGTCCTGGTCCTTAGACATTTTTTTGAAAAAGTCTACAATGGTAATTAACACTGACTCAAATAAAGTAGCCTAAATATTTTCTTTTAAAATTTAACTTATTTGTTAAGCCTTAACTGTGGGTCAACTATTGTTCTAAGTCATCTACATCTAGTTTTTGCAACAACCCTATAACATAGGTATAAAATGTCATTTAATTAAAATTTGTTATTACTGGCTGGGTTTGGTGGCTCATGCCTGTAATTTTAGCACTTTGGGAGGCTAAGGCAGGAAGATCGCTTGAGCCCAGGAGTTGAAGGCCAGCCTGGGCAACATAGTAAGCCCCTGTCTCTATTAAACACATACATACATTAATTGATTAAATTTATTACTATCCTCATTTTAGAGATAAGGAAACTGAGGCACAGAGCAGTTAACTAACTTATTCAATGTCTCACAGCTTGAAATGGCAGAGAGGGAAACTAAGTCTGAAGAGTTTGGCTCAGCCTCCTTCAATACTGCTTCTCAATTCCACACTTCCATTTACTTAAGGACAGGGCAACCACAAGAACAATATTCCTCACCTGAGCTGAAACCAAGAGCCTGCAGAGAACTCATGTTGACAGTGTACACCAAGAATACTGAGATTGTATTCTCAACAGGGGCTAAAGTTTGAAAGTTCAGATCCTGAAACAGGATACCTTTATTCTTGCCTCACTACATGTTTTGCTGGAAGTTGGACCCCTTCCTATTCTCTAAATCTGCCTTGACCAACATAGTATGGCACTCACCATATGCTGCTGTCAAGCATTTAAAACATGGCTGGTCCAAATGGATATACTCTGTAAGCATAGAGACACCAATTTCAAAGAGTTACTACAAAAATAACAAGTTGTCTCATTAATAATGTTTATATAGATTACACATTAGAACACTATTTTGGATTTATTGCATTAAATCAAATATATTATTATAATTCACTTCACTTTAATATGGCTACTAAAAATTTTAAAATCTCCCTGTAGCTCATATTTGTGGTTTGCATATTTCTTTTTTCAATTTTAATTATTTATTTATTTATTTATTTTTGAGGCAGAATCTTGCTCTGTCTTGATCATAGCTCACTGCAGCCTCAAACTCCTGGGCTCAGGCGATCTTCCTTCATCAGCCTCCTGAGTAGCTGGAACTATGGCTGTGCACCACCACACTCAGCTAATTTTTTATTTCTATTTTGTACAGATGGGGTCTTGCTTATGCTGCCCAGGCTGGTCTCAAACTCCTGGCCTCAAGCAATCCTCCCACCTTGGCCTCCCAAGGATTTGGGATTCCAGGCGTCAGCCACCACACATGGCTAGCATTATATTTCTATTGAACAATGCTGCTCTAAACTCATTCCTTAATGCCAAACTTTGTATGGCTGAATCATTAACACCAATCTGTAACCCTGACAGGGTTATAGGTTTCTCCAAGAACAGCAGTGCACCTCCTGGGAAGCTTCATTCCCACCTCCACGTAAACTCTTCTCCCTTCAAAACTCTCAGGTTTTTATGCCACTAACTCCATTCTCTGACCTTGAAGTACTTACTGTCTTTGGTCTGATTTAGAAAAAGCCTTGACCTGACCCTGCTTTTCCTTCGTGCTTTTATGACTTCTCTCCCTCTTTTAATAGTCAAAGCATCTGGCAGGGTCCTCACTCTCTCCTAGCTTCCTTAATCCACTGTAATCTAACTTCCATCTCCCACTGGCCCCTTCTTCACCTCGTTCTCCTGACCTCTCTAACCTCTGTAGAACTGCCGTTGGGTCTCCAAAACCACACAGCAGGCCTGAATTGAGCTGAGCACCAACCAGATACTTGGAAGGCAGGAAAGAATCTTACTTACCAAGTTCTGCGAACAAAACAAGGAAGTGGCACCAACCTTCCCACTCCATTCTCCCACCCGGGGTCCCCAAAAGGAGGCTCTCTCATTATCTAGGAATAATTTCACTCAAGGCAGATGCGGCTTGTTGCAGCTGTAATGGACCCTCCCAGGTCAGCCATCATTCCCTTGTGTGGATTCCCCAAATCCTTGCTCCCATAATACCTTTCCTGTACAGGAAAAGCAAGATTCAGGTTGAGTCTGAAGCATCATCTGAACAGAGTAGACATCCAGCATGGGTAGCAGCCATCTTTCAGAGCATAGCCTGAGGGCTCCTGTCCATAGGAGCAGGACACCAAGATAGGAGTCCAGTGGGGAATCACCATTCGTTGGCCCATTGGCTTGAAGATACCATTAATGGAGTAAGAAGCAAACTCGGGCAGAATCAAAACTCTCACCCCGGGCTACCACGGGGAAGTGAAACTAGAACTAGCTTGAAAAGCAAAAATGCAAGTTAACCAACTTTGGGTCAGGGGTGGGATAGGCTTCCTGTAGGCAGAAGATCATGAGACTCAGAGCGTGGACATCCCTGGTTCTCCTGGAGCTGGGGAACGAGTGAGGCAGTTCAGGAGTGTTGAGTGGAGAGTTAGGCAGAGATGAGACAAAGGATACTAAATTTTATCTTTTTCTTTCAGCTACCAACTACAGTTTCTAAAGTTCAGATATTCTTTTCACAATCTCTCATGTCCATCCCCTGCACAGTCCCAGTCCAGACCTTCATCCTGGACCAAAGCCACAGTCCCATACCTGATTTCCATCAACCCTCTTTAGAAACATTCTACATACCAAGGTAAGTTTAATCAGCATGGTTTCCTCATTTTCATATCACTTTGCTGTTCATTAACATTCTGTGCAGCCTTGTTTATTTCTTCACAAAGAGACTTCTCAGGACTCAGAGTCTCTGGTCTCACCCCTACCTAATCTTGGAGAAATACCCTTGGCAGATCTCGGAGAAATATCCTTGGCAGCCCCACAGGCACTGCTTGAGTAGTGCCAGTGACAGGGCCCTCTCTCATCTCCACCCCTCGCCTGAAAGCAACTCATATTTTCCCCACCAGAATGTGCCCCTCCTCTTCCCAATGCCCATCAAAAGTCTAAAGGTTGACTTTGACAGCTTCAACAATGGCAGATGCCCACCCCCCAGGAGCACAAGGAACAAAGGTGGTCCTCCTCAGGGACCTCCCCAACATGGCTCTGCCCCATGTATCCAGAACACCTCCACTCTCTACCCACCACTGACCTCCTGCACACAGGACCCTGCTCCCTTTCTAACCCCCATGATATAATGTTTATTTATATCTTTCTAACTTTACTGAGTGTAGGTTCCTTGACAAAGCCCTATCCTTTCCACACATTTATTTAAATCCTACCTACAAAATACAGCTTAAGTACCATCCCTGGCAGAAAGTCTTCTGGGTACTGCACTCCATTCCTCCTTGATCTCATTTTCAAAATCTCCATTCAGAACAAGTTATTACCATAGAGCATTCATTATTGATTCATAGGTATTGTGTGATTTTGGGCAGAGCTAAACTAAAAACTCCTTGAGGTCTAGAATCATACTTTATAGTTGTCAGTGGTCTGTAGTAGGAACAAAGCAGACACTCAAATACTTTGTTTATTGGGTTATATTGATTTATTCCACTACTTGATAACATAAAGATAAATGCTTTGCTTCAAAGCGTTGAAGCAAATGCTTCAATGTTGAGACTTTATGTTGAGGAGGAGAAGATCACAAGAGGTTTAAATGGCATTGATTTTTAAATAATCTCTAGCTATTTTTTAATGAAACTTCCTTGAAATTAACTATCTTACAACATTACCAGTGTTAAGCAATTACTCAGTTCAAAATATGTTAAGGGACCTTCAAAAACTAATATTTTTCATTTTTATACACTGACATTATTAATGGACAACGAATATGAATGCATCTCCGACATAAAGCAAAGGCTGCTTTTAAAAAACCTTCCAAATCTCAGCTGGAAATACTGAAGAATAAAAAATAAAAAATAATAATTAAAAAAAACCTTCCAAATCTAAAAATTATAAAATATGTACACCTTCAAAATGCCAGTACTGTGGCCAGCTCAAAAACCTACTGCCTACCCATATTCATCTAAGAAAATCACGTGAAGAAAAGCAATGGGGCCAAGCGTGGTGGCTCATGCCTGTAATCCCAGCACTTTCGGAGGTCGAAGCAGGTGGATCACTTGAGGTCAGGAGTTTGAGACTAGCCTGGCCAACATGGCGAAACCCCGTCTCTACTAAAAATTCAAAAATTAGCCAGGCTACTGTAGCTATGGTAGCTGGGATCACAGGTACCTGCCACCACGCAGGGCTAATAAGGCCACTTGGGAGGCTGAGGCAGGAGAATTGCTTGAACCCAGGATGCAGAGGTTGCAGTGAGCCAAGATTTTTAAGACTCTGTCTTAAAAAAAAAAGTGTTCCTCATGTCCTGCTTGCAATAAAGAGACTACCATTCTCCTTCTGCTTTTCAGATCCAGGATGATAACAATTATTTGTTAGTATTAGGTTGCTACAAAGTAACCTAACCTGATACATGCCTTGCACTGTGCTAGGTACTTGGCATTTATTGTCTCCATTATATGTTTCTCCTGACAATATCTGGTGATAGCACTTCCCCGTACAAAGGAGGACACTGAAGCATGTGGAGGCATGTGAAGGTGAGAAACCAGGTCTGGCTTACTTCTGTTCTGCTGTACTCGTAGACTGCATAAGCCCCAAGCAAATCATAGCAAAATATTAAAGGAAGGTTTCTTTAAAAGTGTATATTTGCATGGGCTATCCACAGACACATACATTTTCTCCATAAACATGGAATCTTAATATTTGAGCTCTGCAGAATTCTGGATAATCTATCTTATGGCATCATATTTTCCATTTGTTGAAACTATATCATTAATCAGTTTTAATAGAGTGTCCCTACTGGATACTATTAAGAAACAATTCTAAACAGTTCATGGATAAAATAACTCAGGTCAAATTCTAATTCAACTCTATAAACCCAAAACCCCTTTGCCATACTGAAATTTCTATCAAATGTTTACTTGAAAGCATTACCTTTGTTGTTTTTGTTTTGCTTTAGTTATATAAGAACAGGAGAGGCGCTTATGGTTTTAACTGTATTCAGATCATACAAGCCTAACTCAGGCACCTCTTTGTAGAAATTCAATATAAAGATTTTGATTTTTAGAAACAAATACCAACACTAGCTACTAGAGAACCAATTATGTGTTAAGGGCTTGGCACCTATTATTTCAATTGAGTAAAACAATTCCTATTGGTCATGAAGCAGTTACTGTTATCTCCACTGAAGGAAGTCAAGACTCAGCATTTATGCAACTGGTTACCATTCAACACGTGGTTAGCACGTGGCAGGGCCAGGGGCCTGTGCAGGTTTTCTCAACTCCATTGTTCACTCTTCAACCACAGTGCTACTTCCTTTCTCCCAAAAAGCGGAAGAACCTCCTCCCAAAAAGGTCAAGCTGCAGAATAAACATAACCCTAGCTTCTTTCTGATTCCTAAGAGCTGGCCCTAATGCTGTGTGGCCCAGTAGCAGAACAAGTAAAATACGCTATATACCGGTCAGCACCCAAGGGATACATATCAATGTTCCTCCCTACTTGAACAATCTCACCTATTTAATGCTCCCACCTTGGTTTGCCAATGTTAGTCAACAAGGAAGTATGCTTAGAGTCCGCTCTGCCAGGATATCTTACCCAGCTGCTTTCCTGTCTTTCACACAGCTTTCTTGACTGTATTGTACAAGCCCTTCCCTTCTGGGAAGGGATTAACCCAAGGTTGTGAAGGCAGACAGGTCCAATAACATCAGCTGATCCTCACTTAGCTAAATGTAATCTGAGGCAGGCATTTCACATGCATTATTTCATTTAATCTTCCATGACTCTATAGGGTTGCATACTAATCTTAATCCTTTTTTTTTTTTTTTTTTTTTTTTGAGAGGGCTCTCACTCTGTTGCCTAGGTTGGAGTGCAGTGACACGATCCAGCTCACCACAACCTCTGCCTCCCAGGTTCAAGCTATTCTCCTGCCTCAGCCTCCAGAGTAGCTGGGACTACAGGCGTGTGCCAGCATGGCTGGCTAATTTTTGTATTTTTTAGTAGAGACGGGTTTTCACTATGTTGGCAACCCTTTCTGAAGGTAAGGAAATTGAGGTTAACAATTTGTTCATATTTAATCTTGCTAACATAATTGTATTTATATGTTCATATTTCCATGGAACAATACAGGATGGGCTGATTTAACTACAGCTCCCCTGTACGCTGTGTTCACATATAAAAAGAATCCTGGCCAGTGCAGTGGCTCATGCCTATAATCCCAGCACTCTGGAAGGTCAGGGTGGGTGGATCACCTGAGGTCAGGAGTTCAAGACCAGCTTGGCCAACATGGTGAAACTCTGTCTCTACTAAAAATACAAAAAATTAGCTGGGCGTGGTGGAAGGTGCCTGTAATCCAGTACTTGGGAGGCTGAGGCATAAGGATCATTTGGACACAGGAGGTGGAGGTTGCAGTGAGCTGAGATCGTGCCACTGCACTCCAGCGCCTAAGTGACAAGAGAGAGAGACTAAAAAAAAAAAAAAAAAAAAAGAATCCCTACTGAAAGTGATGGCATCTCCTGGGCCAAGTACAGTGCCTGGTAAAATTCAGGCCTTGAAGAACCATTGGTTAAATAAATGAATCTAAGTAAATATTGGAGCTGACAAAATTGTGCCTCATACTTCATAACTCTGTGCCTTCAACCAGCCCTCATCTACTGCCACCTCTTACAGCTCCTGCCTGGCACTTCTGCCTGACTGTCCCTGCCAGCTCTCTCTTCAGGCCCTGCCAAGCACCCAGCATGCAAACACGCCGATAGCAAATCACATAAACTTTGACCTAAACTTCCAATTATATAGACTGCCTGCCTCTCCATCCATGCATTTAGAATTCTCTAGGCCACAGAAAGATCAGCTTCCCAGAACTTTTCTAGACTCATAACTCACAGAAGGAGCAAACCGTGACTGGAAAAACAACTTCAAAAACAAAACTCTGGACTGGGTGTGGTCTCATGCCTATAATCCCAGCACTTTGGGAGGCTCAGGTGAGTAGATCACTCAAGCCCAGGAGTTTGAGACCAGGCAGGTCAACATGGCAAAACTCCGTCTCTACAAAAATTAAAATGAAAAAAATTAGCCAGGCATGGTGGCGTGGTGCCTGTAGTCTCAGCTACTCATGAGGCTGAGGCGGGCGGATCTATTAAGCCTAGAAGGTCAAGGCTGCAGTGAGCTGTGATCATACCAATGCACCGCAGCCAGGGTGACAGAACAAAACCCTCACTCAAAAACCAAAAAACAAAAACCTAACCTTTGGGTTAAAATGATGTTCATTAAAACTAGCTTCATCTGAACCTGAACAAACATTGACAGGTGTCTAAAGTTCTACTTTTGCTCAGAGCAAAGCACACATAAATGGGTCTGGGTGGGAGCCGGCCCCATTCCACTGCCAGGCTAGAGCTGTATACAGTGATACAGTCAGCCCTCACTATCTGTGGATTCTGCAGCCACAGATTCAACCAACCATGACTAGAAAATGTAAGGGGAAAAGAATTCTGAATGCATAGACATTTTTGTTCACTATTCCCCAAATATATAACAACTCTTTACA